GCTTGTGGCCAAGTGTGAGGTCTGCAGTTTGAATCCCGGGAATACTCATAAGCTAGGCAGACGTCGTGGCCACATTCTACCTTGTAATTCCAGGTGCTCTGGCTTCCTCAGAGGAAGCTGGCTGCCTCAATGAAGAGGGTGGAAGAGCTGTGGAGGATGATTCTTGATGTCAACCTTGGGCTTCCATATGTAATTATACACATGTTTGTGTGCATCCCTACACACCTGTGCCCATACACATGCAAAACATAAACAGCCACACAAAAATGGAAAAAGAAAACATTTTTTTAAATTTATGGAGATGCAGCAGAAGACACATTTTTGTTGTTGTTCACCCGGCCCCATTACCATTACTAGCTAATGTAATAAGACTCACCCAATGCTTTGGGCCCAAGATCCCCTCCTTGCCAGCCCCATGGAAAACAGGACTTCCATTGGTTAAATATCAAAAGTGATGACTTCATTTGTATTTTTATCTTTGTAGTGAAGATCCCCCTTAAGAGCCACAGTCTCAACCATCCTAAGTGTGAACATTTAGGGTACAAAGTTGCTTTTTAGCAGGGCATGGTGGCACACGCCTTTAATCCCAGTACTCAGGAGGCAGAGGCAGGTGGATCTCTGTGAGTTCCAGGCCAGCTGGGGCTACAAGGAGACCTTGTCTCAAAAAGACCCCCCCCCAAAAAAAAACCAAAACTGGTTCATTGCTGGGTGTGGTGGCGCACACCTTTAGTCTGAGCACTTGGGAGGCAGAGGCAGGCAGATCTCCGTGAGTTCAAGGCCAGTCTTGTTTAGAGCAAGTTCCAGGCCAGCTGGTGCTATAGGGAGACCCTGTCTCAAAAAGACCAAAAAAAAAAAAAAAAAAAAAAAAAATCTGGTTCATCAAGCACTAGGCATGGTGGCACACGCCTTTAATTCCAGCACTCAGGAGGCAGAGGCAAGCAGATCACTGTGAGTTCAAGGCCAGCCTGGTCTACATAGTGAGTTCCAGGCTAGCTGTGGCTACAGGGAGACCCTGTTTCAAAAAAGACCAAAAGAAAAAAAAAATTGGTTCATCAAAGATGGGAATTTCAAAATCCCCGTACAAGCTGCATTGCAGGGAGAGTATATTTATCTTATGACTGAGTCATGTTGAAAATTTTATGTGTTTTAGGTAGATAAGAAATGAGAGGGTCATTTCCAGAAATTGATGCTCAAAAGCCCTAGGTTTATAGACTTTTTCTGGCTTGGCCTACTTTATGTATTTCTTAGAAATGATTATAAAATAGGAATATGAGGGGCAAAAGAGATGAATGAGGTGATGACTAAGAGAATTAAGGAAGGAATGACCCTAAGACCTGAAGTGTGAGAATTCCTAAGAAAGAGGGAGTGGGCCTCAGTCTCCAGGACTTCCACAAGCAGGTATTTGCTGGACCAGCCCTGGAAGCTATAGCGGATGCCCTTGGAATCTCATCATTTTGTTCACTGTGTGTCATTCATGGCAAACCAGCTCAGAGAATCCACTGAACTTTGGAACAGATGGTGCCTGCATCACAGGATGTCCCGTTGTCCTATTTATTCAAGAATGAACCATGTCTTTGCAAACACTACAGTCATAACACAGGATCCTAATTGGTTCTCTCCATCTTGGAAAAGCAGAATGGCTGCTTTAAGACAGTGTTTTTCAAACTGTGGTTGTGATCCATTAAAGTCGTGGTCTGGGATTTAATTATGTTTGACCAATACCTTTTAGTGGAATTTCATAGAAAGAACAAAATGTACCTCATAATGCTTTGTGAAATTATTTTTCAGTTGTGTGTGTGTATAAGGTTATCTGTGGATTGGGTTATAATGGGAAACATAATCTTACTGTGAATTAAGCTCCCCAAAAGTCTAAAAGTATCACTTGAGGCAATATAAAATATTATTATTATTATTGTTTGTATGAGTGCATGATGTGTATGTGTGGTTGTGTATGCTGATGTGCACATGTGGTGGTCAAAGGACAACCCTGAGGAATTGGTTCTTTCCTTCCACCTTTACCTTCCACCTTTACCTGGGTTCTGGGTATCAAATTCAGTTTGCCAGACTTATGTAGCCGAGCACCTGCTTAGTCATCTTCCAGTCCTTAAGGCAACATTGGACGGAAAAGGAAGCACTGGTTGTGGTATGTAATGGTCAGGGTGACTGCCCACTGTTTTATTTCTGTTTTTACAGTGCTAGAGATTGAACCCAGGGCTTGTACTTGCTGGGCAAGCTCTCTCCACTCAGCTGCACTCCAGCTCTGTCCAGCTATTTTTTTAAATTAATTTTTTTATTACGTGTATGAGTATTTTGCTTGCATGTGTGTAAGTGTACCTGTGTTGTACAATAATCCCAGAGGTCAGAAGAAGGCATCAGATACCCTGGAACTGGAGTTATAGGCAATTGTTAGCCGCCTTGTGGATGCTGGGAATTAAATCCCAGTCTTCTGCAAGAACAGTCAGTGCTCTTACCCGCTGAACCATCTCTCCAGCCCAAGCCAGTTACTTTTCTAGGTTATCCATGATTTTCTGTGTGTGTGTGTGTGTGTGTGTGTGTGAGAGAGAGAGAGAGAGAGAGAGAGAGAGAGAGAGAGAGAATTCTGTCATATGATAAGTCTCACATCGGAGGTCTTGAGATAAAGACATACAGTATTTTGACATTGACCTAAAATTATGAATAAATCCTTATTCATAATATCTTTGCTTAAGCAGAAACCAGTCAGCTTGACAACTATAGCATAATTTCATATACTGTGTACAAGGAAGAACAAGTTTCTGATTCATTGAGAGTACTTGCTCCTGAGAGGGCAAATTTCTAGACTATTTCCCTTCTAGAAACCTAGAAAAACACCCATATTGCCTTATATGTCCAAACAAGATGAAAATGTTTTGACCTTAGCTTTTCTCATTAACTTTTCAAATTTCTGATCTAATAATAAGTATAGAAAACCAAGTAGCTGCTCCCGGCAGGGATAGCAGATGTCCTTCCATAGAGCAATGGGCATCATGGTACTCAGTAACTCAGAGACATGTTATCCATTAACAGAACATTTATTAATAGTTATAAGGTGCAGAGTGTGATATAACAAGAGAGAATGTGGTATAAAATGACAGGTGTCACCTTCATCAGAGGCCTGCATGGTGATAATTTAAGCAGTACTTTGCAGAGATGAAGATTGGGCTCCATTGCCTCCAATGTAAAGCAGGGACCTCTTCTTTAGTGACAGCTGACAGTGGCTTTTTGTGTGTACACATGCTGGCCACTGGCGGAAACAGCCAGTTCCATCTCTACCATGTCACCAACTGTCAAAAGCCCATATGCTCCTCACTTTGTGGGGAGTGTTGGACACCTTGCCACAGTCTGCTTGGAAATGAGTGCGCATGAGAGGCGTGTGGCAGGCATATGGCTTCAATACTTACTTAAGGAAGTGAGTGCACAACAGAATGTTCCCAGGTTTAATGCTTGCAAGGCATGGGGACCAGCCCACAGTCCCTTTCTGCAAGATCTGACAGCTCTTTTCATGACTTGAAAACAGCCCATCCCCCTAAGGCTGACACAGAGCTGACACTGGAAGTCTTGGGTTTACTTTTACTTTACCACGCTTGTCCTCTACCACTTTTGGGGGTTATCTTATGTTGTGGATTTCTGGGACTTGCTATTTATTCAGTGGGAACCCGTGAAGTCTGTGTTTTGACTTGACTGAAAGAAATGAATCCACAGCATCTTTCGTCATAAATATAATGCCCTGGCTAGGGATACAGCAGTGAACTACACAGACATGGCCCCCAGGAGCCCCAGTACCCAGAACAGTGCCTGGTATACATTAGACCTGCAATATGCATTGAGAAAACACGTGGTGACTAAGTTGATAGTCAAGGTCTATAGCTGTGCTTTGGGTCTCTGAGGGAGGTTGCAGATTCCATTGCATCTTTGTGCAGTGGTATTTAATTTGTTCTGGCCAATGTTATACTTGAGTTTGATTCATATAATAAAAACTACTGACTATTATAAAGATCTGAGATTTCATCTCTGGGTTCTTTAGTTGGCAGAGTTTTCATGCTAAAGAGATGGGAAGCCATACCACGTCATCCACATCATGCCTGGGAAGATTACTAAAACAAAAACAGAATCATCTTATCCAAGCTATAGAAACAAACACAAAATTGTGACGTCCTCTTGCTGAAAAAAAAGCAGAACATTATCATTAGCCACAGTGTCAACTCAGTTTAGCTCCTCAGTCCCACTAGTGCTTTGAACTTTCAGATTGCCATCTTTCTCCCATCCTAAATGTGACAGTTCAGTTATAAGGAATTATGTTCCAGTTCCTTGTCAAATGAGCTAGCACTTGCATCTGTTTTCATCCACAGTCATTGCCTTAAATACCCATTAAAAAAATTATGTGTATGTATGTGTGTCTGAGTATGGGTTTGTGCACATGCACGCAGTACTCTCAGAGGTCAGAAGAGGGTGTTGGATCCCCTGGAGCTGGAGTTTCAGGCAGTTGTGAGCCATCCAACCTGGGCTGTAGGAACTAAACTCCAGTCCTCTGCAAGAGCAGTATATGCTCTTAACTGCTGGGTCATCTCTCCTGCCCCTAGATATCCATTTTAAAAGAATATGGATAACAGTACAGTGGAAGACAAAGAAAGGAAGTCTCATGAATAAATGTACTGTATTAGATAACTGAGTAGCTTATACATCCTATGATTATCATTCTCGGTGGCTGAATACTAATCCATTTAACACTTTCAAGCTATATAAATTATACATCCTATGATTATCATTCTCGGTGGCTGAATACTAATCCATTTAACACTTTCAAGCTATATAAAATGTGTTGAAAACATAGAGTCTCACAGTATATTGAAACGGCTTATGAAAGTCCTTTCCATGGCATTAGTGTCATATGTCAGAGATGAATAGTGTTTCTAATTTGCCAGCCACTTAGGCCAAGTTTACTTTAAGCAGGAAGCCTGTTTAGAGAAGTAATAGTAACAGAAATGGTCTCTTGGGGGAAAGCTGTTGGTGAGGTTTAACTTTTTTTTTTTTTTGAAGTATATGTTCTATGTCTTCTAAATGGGCGTTTTATAGGCATTAGACCAAATTGCCTTAAAACCATGCTTAATACAGGCATATCTACCATGGACGCTGCTTGAATGGTCAGGGAGACTCCTGCAGGGTGCATGTTTATAGTGAGGTGGAGTCAGGGAAGGGGAGGGTTTCAGTAACCATCCTTTGAGCAACCCTCGAGGATCTGCTCTTGAGAGCAGGGTGGAGGCCCAGCAGAGTCTACGGGACCTGGGAACTTGTTCAAAACCTAGAAACTCCAGCCCAGCCCCATCAAATGAGAATCAATAATTACTCCAGAGCCCAAGATGATCTGTATGCTCGCCAAAGTTGGGGGATCACCATGCTGGTGGCGGTGGGGGGGCAACCCCTGTTTCTTGGTGGCCAAGCACACCTGGTCATGGTGTCACTTTCTCTTTCCTCTTCCTGGCTTCCAAAATCATTCTTTTTAGAGGCTAGGGTCCTGCCGCTAATGGTACCCTTTCTTATCACCCCCACATCCACTCCCCAGACTGACATCAACTTTCCAACATCTTTGTGCATGCTTTATCAAGAAACTATTTCCAGGGCTCTCCCCATGACCTTAGGGGTTTCCTGCTGCCGAGGAACTTGGTAATGGCTGTGTGCTGTGGATTTGACCTGCCTCTCTGCGGCTGAGCCTCACATCTGCTGGTTCTGCGCTAAGAGCCCTATCTTCCAGTTGTCCACCAAAATGGCGCTTCCTTTCCACTTTAACTTCCGTCTATGCTTGAGCGGGGATTTCTGCCTCTATTGTGGACCTCCTCTAGCCTCACCTTCAGTTTCTCTGCTAATATTTATGGAGTGTTGCCAGGGGAAAGGGCAGTCCTGCCAGATGCCCGGGGGACTCACAGCCAGGGCTTATTCCGTAGGGTAAATGGCATGCAGTCACTATGGACTCTCTTGGCAGACCCCTCCGCATGCTTCATGTGGCCCCATCTTTGCATGTTGGGGTCCAGCCTGCCCTGAAGCAAGTGGACATCCAAACCCAGACCTAGACTGGCCAGCCAGGCCTCCGGAAGCGATTTGGTCCCTCTATTCCAAACTGTGCCTTGGGGGAAAGGCTCAACAGAAAAGTGAACTGGCTATGTAGAAGCGCTTTGCTGACGGATTCAGGCTCTGTGAGCTGGGGGTTTGCGCAGCCAATGGTCAAGGGAACATTTTGGAGTCAACCAAAATGGGGAACACATGGAACAGACTCTCTAATCAGAAGACACTGGTAGGGGGAGAAACAAGATTGCTTTCTGGCCGTAGTGAGTCCGAGGACCGCGCTTGCAGCTTCCGTTCTTCTTGAGGCCGACAAACCAGTTCTTCTCAGCATGCTTCTTGGATACGTAGGTGTTGTAATGGTTTTCCTCCAGCCTTTCCAGGAACAAGCATTCTTCATTTGGTGTCTGCTAAAAGGATGAAAATCAAAGGAGGGCAGAATAACTAGTGAGTTATTTGAAACCGAGTTCCTCTTCTGCTCACTAGCTATGTGACCTTGGGCGCTGTACTAAAGAAATCTGTGATCAGTCTCTTCTGCAGGACATCTGGGATCTGAGAGGACTTATCTCAAAAGAGGGTCACAAGGACTTGAGGAGGAACTGCACACACTGAGCACAAATAGCTTCTGCTATTACTGTAAGCTTCCTTTCTACCTACTGTTCTCAGGATTCTGGCATCTGTGCTGGAGAGATTCTGTTGGGCTCCAACTACTGGAGTAAAGGTGGGACTTTTCATCTCTGTGGAGGCCTGGCCATAGGCGTGACCACAGAAGCATAAAAAAGATGAAAGCCTACTAAACCTCCTTTCCATACTGGTGACTTTCATTAGCAAGGTCACGATTCTACATTAGTATTGCTACAAACATGAATGCTTGTGCAAAATTTGTCCTAAGCATGAAACATACACTGAAACTTAAATACATTCATGTTGTTGCTGTGTTGAAATGGGTCAAGCCCAGGCTGGCCTTGAATTCCTGGTCCTCCTGCAGCTGCCTCCTACAGACATGCACCACAATGCCTGGCCACTTTGAAAAAATAAAAATTGTTTTATTTATTTAGTTATTTGTGAAAAGAACTGTACTCTTCAAAAAATTGTTGCATTTATTTGTATATGTATGTGTGTGTGTGTGTGTGTGTGTGTGTGTGTACTTGTATGGACACTTTATGCATGCAGAGGTCAAAGGACAACTTGTGGATGTCAGTTCTTTCCTTAGATCATGTGGATTCTGGGAACTGAACTCAGATTATCAGTCTTGGTAGCAAGCATCTTTACTCACTGAGTCATCTCACTGGCTCAGAATTATACTCTTAAGAAAATCACAACTTTTCCCAGCACTCAGGAGGCAGAGGCAGGTGGATTTCTGTGAGTGCAAGGCCAGTATGGTCTGGTCTGCATAGCGAGTTCCAGGCCAGCTGCAGCTACAGGGAGAACCTGTCTCAAAGAAGACCAATGACAGGGCTGGAGAGACAGCTCAGTGGTTAAGAACACTGGGTGCTCTTGCAGAAGACCCATATGGCAGCTAAGAACTGTCTGTAACTCCAGTTCCAGGGGATCCGATGCCCTCTTCTGATCTCTGCAGGCATTGCATGACATGGGTGCACTTACATACATAGTCATACACATAAAATAAAAATAATAAATATGAAATAAGGGTATTGATTAAACAAAATATTGCCCATCACAAATAAATAGCTTATAGAAGTTTAATTATAATGCAGTTGAGAATAATAATTGAATTTTAAAGCATACTTATTGTCAT